CCCATTTCATTTCTTATTTGGGTTATTTGCGTCCTCTCCTATTTTTCTTTTGTCAGTCTGGCCATTTGTTTGTGGATTTTGTTGATTCTTTCAGAGAACCAACTTTTGGTTTAGTTGATTATTTCTGTTGTTTTTCTATTCTCTGTTTCATTTATTTCTGCTCTGATCTTTATTATTTCCTTTCTTCTGGAGGCTGTGGGCTTTTTTTGCTGTTCTCTGTTTATTTGAGTTGTGTAGTTAATGTTTTGATTTTGTCCCTTTTTTGATGCATCTATTGCTATAAATTGTCCTCTGAGGACTGCCTTTGCTGTGTCCCACAGGTTTTGGTATGTTGTGTTTACATTCTCATTTGATTCTAGGAATTTTTTGATTCCATCTCTGATTTCTTCTGTTACCCAGTGATTTGTGAGCAGGGTGTTATTCAGTTTCCATGTGTTTGGTTTTTTTTTCCTTGCTCTTTCTATTGTAAATTTCTACCTTGATGGCACTGTAGTCAGAGAAGATACTTTTTATTATCTCCACGTTTTGGATTTTGTTGAGGATTGCATCTGTGGCCTAAGATGCTGTCTATTCTGGAGAACGTTCTGTGTGCTTTGGAAAAGAATGTGTACTTTGCAGCTGTTGGATGGAGTGTTTTATACATGTCTGTGAGGTCAAGTTGGCTGATTGTGCCCTTTAGGTCTTCTGTATCTTTGCTGAGTTTCTTTTTAGATATTCTGTCCTTTACTGAAAGTGGTATGTTGAAGTCTGCTACTATTATTGTGGTACTGTCAGTTTCTCTTTTTAGTGCTGTTAAGAGTTTTTGTATTTTGGAGCCCTGTCATTGGGTGCATAGATGTTTATTATGGTTATGTCTTTGTGATGGATCGTCCCTTTAATAATTATAAAGTGTCCTTTTTAGTCTTTTGTGGTGGATTTTGTTTTAAAGACTATTTTATCTGAGAATCGGATTGCCACTCCTGCTGTTTTTTGGTAGTTGTTTGCTTGATATATTTTTTCCAACCTTTGATTTTTAATAAATTAATGTCTTTGTTTCTAAGGTGTGTCTCTTGTAGATAGCATATTGATGGATCCTGTTTTTTTTTTAATCCATTCTGTCACTCTCCATCTCTTTATGGGTGCATTGCGCCCGTTTACATTCAGTTTAATTATTGATAGATGTGAGTCTATTGTTGTCAGTTTGTAGTGCTTTTTTTTTTTTGTGGTGCCGACGTTTTCTTTGTTCCCATTACTCTCCTTTGCTGAATTCCTTTTGTTTGTGGCCTTTTTTTTCCATTTCTTTTGGTTTTGTAGGTTTTGTTTTTACTTAGACTTTATGTTTTTCCTCTTTATTTTTATGGATAGGTTTGTTAACTTTCTTTGTGGTTACCGTGAAATTTACCCTTATCTTTCTAAGTTTGAAGCAGTCCTTGGTGTCGCCTTGTCTTCGTCTCCATGAAAAGGTTCTGTACCTATCCTCTTTTGTTATTCTGATGTTGTTGCCATTTACAGATTAACTCTTCTGATTCTCTGTTGTATTTCTTTTGTTTTTGTATAGTCCTTGAGAGTTCATTTCCTAGATTGGTATTTGGCTGGTACAATCCTGCATCCTAGATTCAGCCTGTGAGCTGAAGTTGTTTGTTCTCAGATCGAAGGACTCCCTTTAATAATTTTTGGAAGTTTGGTTTGGTTTTTACATTTTCTTTTAATTTCTGTTTATCTGGAAATGTCCTAATTTCACCATCATATTTGAATGAGAGTTTTGCAGGATATATTATTCTTGACTGGCTGTGTTTTTCTTGCAAGGTTTTGTATATGTCATCCCATTGCCTGCTTGCCTGCATGGTTTCTGCTGAATAATCCTAGCTTAGTCTTATTGTTTTTCCTCTGTATGTGACTATTTGTTTTTCTCGAGCTGCTCTCAGGATTCTTTGTCTGTCTTTGGTTTTGGTGAGTGTGATTATGATATGCCTTGGTGATTTTCTTTTAGGGTGTGTCCTATATGGGGTTCATTGAGCTTCTTGGATGGCCAGCTTTTAATCTTTCATGATACTGGGGAAGTTTTCTGTCAGCAGTTCTTCAGTTATCATCTGTATGTCTTCTGTTTTCTCCCCCTTTTCTAGAATTCTGATCAGTCGCAGATTTTTACTTTTGATTTTATCCCACATAATTCTCAGGGTTTTTTCATTTTTCTTCATTCTTTTTTCTGATTTTTCCTCAGAGTTGTATCCTAGTGTTTGTCTTCAATTTCGCTAATCCTGTCTTCCACTGTTTCAAATCTGCTCCTCACCCCTTCTCTGACGCTGTGCATTTCTGAAATCTTGTTTATCTTTTGGATTTCTAATTGTTGTTTTTGTATGATTTCTAGTTGTGAATTTATTTTGGTGTTGTTTTTTCTTTCATTATTTTCCTTAATTCTTATGTTTTTTTTGGTCTGTGTTTTCCATGAATTTGTTTTTTCCTCATTTTTGTCGCTTTTTGGTTGAACCTTGGATAATTCCGAGTATTAGAGTTTTGAATTCCTTATCAGGTAGTTCTAATGCCTTTTCTTCTACTGTAAAGTCACCTGGTGTTTTATTTTGGATGCCTACTGGAACCATCCTGTTCTGTTTTTGTAAGTGTTTTGATATTGTCTGCTCTTTTCAGGGCATTCAGTAGTTATTTTTCTCATTTACTGATTGTAGATTTGTTTCGTCCTGTTTTTTTGTTTTATCTGGCTGTGTCTGAGCAGGTGAGCTGTGTTTTCTTCGTTGTTTGCTCGTCTGTGGGCACAGTACTTTTCACTTCCTTCTCCAGTTGGCAGGGTCAGTCACTCAGATATGGTACAGCAGGGCAGGTCTAGCTGAAGAGGAGTTGCTGGGATGGGTTGTTTGTGGCACTTACTCCAGCCACCAGCGTCGGCCGGTCATCAGTGTGGGGCAGGATCCGGTAGGCCGTGCCTGTGCTGCTTGGTGGTGTGATGTTAAGTGCACAGTGTAGGTAGGCAGGATGGAGTGGGGAGATTGTGATGTGTGGAGCTAAGATGGGTATGTGAGAGTGAAGAGAGGAAGAGGAGCCGAAAACATACAAACAAACGAGTGCTAGGGGAGCTTGCCATTGGAATGGAGAGATGAGAGAGTATGAAATGGAGAAAAAGAGAAAGGAGAAGAAAAAAAAAGAAAAGGAGAGGGAAGATGAATAAATAAAAATTAGAAAGAAAAACTCCCAGGGATCCCACCGATGCGGCTACGAGGTCTGGGGAAGTTGCTCCCAGGTATTGAAGTACAGCGTGGCTAGGAGGTGTAGAGGTGTCACTCAGTGCCAGATATTCAGGGGACAGGAAGAGAAGGAAGGTATAGAGAGATGAGAAACTGAGTAATGAAGAAAGACAAAAAGGGAAAAAGAGGAAGAAATCAAAAAGAAATGGAAAAAAGCAACACCAGCAGCCAACAAATGGCACTCAGAGTCGACTGGTGTGGGCAGGTGGAATCCAAGCAGCAGGTGCTTCCCAGCCAGGAGACTGTGGCCGCAGGAATCAGAGGAGGCCGAGTGGGAGTGAAGAAGGATGTGGGGTGGGAAAGCATATAGCGCTACTTACCGGTTGTTCTGTCTCCTGCTGGAAGCTCCGTGAAGCTGCTTTCTCATACCCCCTGTTTGCTGGTCTCTGATAGGAGTCCAAGATGGTGGATCCACACTGCGTTAGCTGATCGGGGACCTCTGCGTGAATCTCTCCTCACTCTCTCTTCTCTATCAATTTCTTATTCCATTTGGTGCTTGGCTGAGTTCGTTACCTCTTCATCTGATGCTTAAGGTTTCAGGATTGCTGTTTTCTCTGTTTGGCTTAGTTTTTTCGGATCTTTGCTGTGGAGGGATGGCGTGGTGCTTCTGCCTAGAGCCCCATGTTGCCCGGAAGTCGATTTTTTTTTTTTAATTAAAACATTTAGATGGTTCCAGAGTCAAAACTATAATGTGAGATACATTTCACCGTTTTTTAAAGTTTTCTATGTATTTTTCATGTGTTTGTTTATTTGTAGTCTACTTTGCGCACAAAGAATAACATTATATACATACTTCTACTGGTATGAAATGATTTTCCACACTTTTACAGCTGCTTAATAGGTAATTTTTTAGTTATTAGCATATTTGTTTAATGAATGATAATGCAGGTATTGTTTTTTTTTTAGGTCTTTAGATTTTCAATAATGCATCCTTTAGTAAAAAAATGGATAATTTTATCTTAATTATTATAAAGGGATACAAAATTTAATATTAATTGAAAAAAAACTTCTCATGTGAAAGAAAAAATTTGAATTACTGGTTGTGATTTTTTCCATTGAGTTGTTATTTTTGGTGTAATTTGTACTTGTTCATTTTTCAAATGCTAACTTCTTTTAAGGTTCATCTCAGAAGAAGCTGTTGGCACCTGATATGTTTACAGAGTCGGATGACATGTTTGCTGCATATTTTGATGTAAGTAATTTCAGAGTCATAAAAACACCACTATTAAATAGAAAATGGTTCAGAAAAAATATATATATTATAGATGTGTCTTTGTGTATTCATGTATATACTTCTAGACAGAGAAAGGTTAAATGAATGTAATAAATGTTAACATTTAGACAGTCTGGGTGAAGGGTATCTGGAAACTGTTTGTACTAATTATGCAACTTTCTTCATAAAATTATATCAACATTTTAAAAATTGAAGTCACTGTGAGTACAGCCGAACAATTTGAGAACTTCATAAAAGTTACACATTCAGTGACTTAAAAGGGTCTGTTTTTAATTTTTTTTCTCAGATTCACAAACCACTTTGTGTATTGCGCACACACGCACTCGCGTGTGTAGTAGTTAGATAAGGTGATGTCAGTGTCTTCCAGGCCTTAATAAGAACACAGTCCACTTTGGGCCTCTATATTGTGGAGATGATCAAGAGCTTAAGGATTTGGAGCCTAACAGAATTCATTGAAGAGTTGGAGGATTTTATAAGAAGTAGAACTGGAATTTTTGGTCATTTAACTTTTTTTTCTTACAGATTTATTATTTTTCTTGAAAAGCCTTAAACTATAAACATTCAAAAGTATGGACCATTTTTATTATAAATTTAAGCACAGATGAGAAATGAGGCCTTGGTATGGGAAGGTGGGGAGGATAAACACATAACAGGGAAACTACAATTGGGGTAGGATAAGCAGTCAGTGTCCTGGACCCTGAAGATGGTGTTAATTGACTCAAGTAGATATTTTGCAACCGAACATCAAAAAATACATGGGTTAAGAGGGGATGAAAAGATTATTGAACCAGTTAAAATACCCGCACCCATCCATTCGCCCGGATGATGGATTTCTGGGTACCATGGAGGCTGATGTATAATAAAGGTTCTTCAGAAGTATCAGGTATTCTAAATTTTTAATTTTCCTCACAGACTTGACTGATGCAGGTAATATTTTATGCATACATAGGAAGAGAGCAAGTAGTGTCTTCTGTGGACAGGGCAGTGCAAGAAATGGTGAAAATTTGTAGGCGAGAGAGTTGGACCTTGTGTTCTAAACTTACAGTAGTTAACTGAGTCCAGTCTATAGTTTTGATCCCAATCTACCAATCAATAACTATAGAATATCAAATCTTACTGAGTTTTATTTTCATTTATATTGCTTTAATTATACTCCTAAAAGCTTTTGAAAATAATTTGCTAGGTTTTTTCCCCAAGCATTATTGTGATAGAATAGAGTCTGGTAATCATGTTTCAGCTATGTTGCATTTACATTAATGGTAGTTCATTTAATTTTATAGAAAATGCTTTTATTAAATTATAGCTGGTCTTGCCTACTTTTAAAGCAAGTGCTTTTAGTGTCTGTCTGATCGATTAGTGGGTTAGATAGCTCATGCTACCTCCACAATTTCAGAGTGCTCGTCTTCGAGCTGCTGGCATTGGCAAAGATTTCAAAGAAAATCCCAACCTCAGGGACAACTGGACTGATGCAGAAGGCTATTATCGTAAGTACGCACTTCTTAGTAACTTTACAGTTCATTGTAACTGCTTGTAAAAGCCTGTTGCTTGATGCAGTCACACATTGCTGGAGAACTCTGAAAAGTCACACCACAGTGCCATCATTTAAAAAGTGTGGCATATCTCACAGTTGCATGAACCCATGTGTGTTCTAGGGAGCAACCGAGAAGCATCACAAATTGAAGTGAGGTAAAAAACTTGATGTACAACTTAAATCTATTCAAAGTTATTTTCAGCCATGAGATAATCTTCCAGAAAGAAGGGGTACATCACTTGCTCATCTTGATCTGAAACCAGGAAAAACAACATACAAGGACTTGGGATACCAGTCACGCAGTATTTGTCATGCAGGACTACAATTGGAAACACTTCAGTGAGCATATTTCTTCCCTACTCAGTGTTAAAATCATCAGCAATTGATAAAGCCAAACCCATTACCATCAAGTCTAGCAACCCTATAGGACAGTAGAATTGCCCCATAGAGTTTCCAAGGCTGCAGATCTTTACAGAAGCAGACTGCCATATCTTTCTCCCGTGGAGCAGCTGGTGAGTTCAAACCACTGACCTTTCAATTTATAGGCAAGTGCTTAACCACTGCACCACCAGTGCAGTTGATAGAACAGCAGAAACTCTTCTTGTAATGATCTGAAGTGAGCATGCAACTTCTGACCACATCAGGTGTGGGTAGCCAGTGGCATCACAGTTTTGATTCTCTGTTTTATTTAGGAAACCAAGTACACAGTAGAGACTGACACAAGTTTTTTTTTTAATTATACTTTAGGTGAAAGTTTACAGCTCAAGTTAATTTCTCATTCAAAAATTTATACACATATTGTTTTGTGACATTGGTTGCAGTCCCCACAATGTGACAACATGTTCCCCCTTTCCATCCCAGCTTCCCTGTCTGTTTGTCCAGTTCCTGTCCCTTCTTGTCTTCCCATCCTGCTTTTGGACAGCAGCTGCCCATTTGGTCTCGTATATTTGATAGAACTAAGAAGCACATTCCTCACATGTATTATTTTTTGTTTCATAGTCCTATCTAATGTTTGTCTGAAGAGGGGGCTTTGGGAATGTTTTCAGTTCTGGGTTGACAGGGCGTCTGGGGGCCATAGTTTCAGGGGTTCCTCCAGTCTCTGTCAGACCGTTAAGTCAGGCCTTTTTATGTGAATTTGAATTCTGTTCTACATTTTTTCTCCTGCTCTGTCCAGGGTTCTGTTGTGTTCCCTGTCAGGTCGGTCATTGGTGGTAGCTGGGCACCATCTAGTTCTTCTGGTCTCAGGCTGGTGGAGTCTCTGGTTCGTTTGGTCCTTTAGTCCTTTGGGCTAGTACTTTCCTTGTGTCTTTGGTTTTCTTCATTCTCCTTTGCTCCGAGTCGGATGGAACCAATAGATGTATCTTAGACGGCCGCTTACAAGCTTTTAAGACCGCAGACGCTACTCACCAAAGTGGGATGTAGAACCTTTTCTTTATAAACTGTGTTGTACCAGTTGACCTAGATTTCCCCCGAAACTGTGGTCTCCAGGCCTCAGCCCCTCTCTCCCTCAGAGTGTTTGGATGTGACACAGTTTTTAAGTGACTACGCTGTGTTCCCTACTTTACGATTTATTATGTGTATCTCATAGTTTTGTTTAGTAACCTGATTTTATTATGGTGGTGGTTCTGATTTTTTTAAATTTACTTTTCAGGTGTGAACATAGGTGAAGTCCTTGATAAGCGTTACAATGTGTATGGTTACACGGGTCAAGGTGTATTCAGTAATGTTGTACGAGCCAGAGATAATGCAAGAGCCAACCAGGAAGTGGCTGTAAAGATCATCAGAAACAACGAGCTCATGTACGTTCACAGCGTATGTGGTGAATCTTTGGTAACACACGTATTCAGAAATGAACCTATTTTCACATGTCATTTTTTGAAAGTATAACAATCTGCAAAACAAGTATTGTGATTATAAAGTGACTGAAGCAGTTTTATTTTGTTTTTCTATGTGAGTTTTTTATTTATAGCCCTGTGTTATAAGTTCTAGAACCGTAGGCTGATTGTATTTAGTTCATTTCACTAGTTCTGTGTGCAGAGTACTACATGAGGCAGTAATATCAATAGACTGCATTCCACTAATGGACTCCATTCCTTCTACTGCTTGTTTTATGGCCATTTCTTGCTGTGAATGTTTCAAGACCAGAGGTGAGAAATGAAAAGATCACATTGATTAGCTGTCACTGAACATACAGTGGCCTAAAGAAAGTGAAAACTGAGTCATCAGATAGTAAATGGGTATTATTTGTGTCTCTCATTTATTCCTTTTTTCTGTAATAGAGTAGATAATTGCCATACCCATATGCTTTAATGTATATCTGTGCCATGCAGTGAACTGGTATTAAAGTCAGCTTTCCTCTGGCTTTGAAAAGCTAGATAGCAGTGTTGCGGATTTTGACTGAATACTTAGGCTGCCCCATGCTTAGAAAGTTTTTTTCTTTTAATGGTAAGCTCCAACTTCTTATTCTAGATGTTAACTTTAAAATGTAGATAATTGAAAATTATAAATAATTTCAAAGAATATCTGAATGTTAGAATTTGGTAAGATATATCCATCATTAGATTCCTAAAGGAACTGAGGCTAATATACAGTGTGGTTCCATTTTTATTGAAAATAATTACATCAGAATGTTTTAAATTACAATGTACAAGATTCATTTCAAGCAAGGTAGGTTTGTTCTTCACTTTCTGTTTTACTAAGTGATTATTTTGGAAATTAACTCCATCCATGAAAATGGTATTTGGCCAAATATCAAGTCTTATGTGAATAATATATAGACATGTCATCCCTCAACAGGTAACTACTTTAAGATATATGAAATACACATCAGACTGGGACTGTCAAATATGTATTTTGATTTTTCTGAATTCTGGATATATTCAGTTTTGATCTACTTTTCCTTTTTATTTCAGGCAAAAAACTGGTTTAAAAGAACTCGAGTTCTTGAAAAAACTTAACGATGCTGATCCTGATGACAAATTTCATTGTTTGCGACTCTTCAGACACTTTTATCACAAACAGCATCTCTGTCTCGTATTTGAGCCTCTCAGGTACATTGTCAAAACCTATATATTAAACTGAAGATTTAATGTTTTCATCCCTACCGACCTCATTTTGGAAAAATGCTATGACAGATTTTCTGGATGTTTGATTGATTTTGGTTTTTTTAGGCAGTGCTAGCTCTTGTTTTTTAACTGTTGGTTAGAACTTCTTGGCATTCATTTATGTATAAACATTAATTGACTGCATACTCTGTGCCAGGAACTAATCTCATGTAACCTACAGGTCAACAGAGATTCTATGAAATTTAAATACTTCAAGGAAGGGTTAAGCCAGGATGTAAAGAAATGGGAGTGGTGCGGACAGAAATAGGATTTTGATCTTCAACAGTATGGCTTCATTGTTGTGCCTTCAAATGTAAACCCATTCTAAAGTCAAAATAGAAATTTTACCATGCATATCTTCCATTCTATTAATTTTGAGAATTGGATTTTATTGGAAAAATGTGTTTGGATATATATATAGAGCTTCATGTGCATTTGTTTCAGTGTAGAATAATTGATCAAACTTTGGGGGAAGTTCTTGAACAGAACATTTTTATTATAAAATATGTTTGGACTTTATGCATGAAAGTGTTTTTACCTTTTGTATTTTCATATTGCATTCTATCCTCTAATTTCTTTTTTTTTTTTCCTCCTAAAAGTATGAATTTACGAGAGGTATTAAAAAAATATGGTAAGGATGTTGGTCTTCATATTAAAGCTGTAAGATCCTATAGTCAGCAGTTGTTCTTGGCATTGAAACTCCTTAAAAGATGCAATATCTTGCATGCAGATATCAAGCCAGACAATATCCTGGTAAGTCAAACAACTAGACTGCCGTATATATCCATATCTCTTCTTTCTGTCAATGTGATTGTTAAATGATATTATTTTTCTAGAAATGACGTCTTAGAAGCATAATTTAGTATACTAATTACCCAGTGCTGAATGACTTTGCTGATTTTTACTTTTTTGGAAATTCAGGCATGAAATTTTATAGAAGAGTATGCAGAAAGAGGAAATAGACTGCTGTCTCAGTTTTTTTTTCATTTGATAGAGTACTTACAAACCCCAACAGTGCTTTAATGTAGTAATGGTAGACTTTCTCTGGTATCTAAAAATATGCTGCATGTGTTGCTTGTTTCGAAATAAAGGAGTATTCTCTATCCTTGTTCTCTGTTTTATAGATTGAGGGAGTTGGGGACATTTAATAGAATTATCTTCCTTAAGTAGGTGTATGGAATTGAGTTTGAAGGTGTCTTGGAGTAACTTTCGTTTATTTATTGATGTTGGAGCTTTGGCTCCTGGGGATCCAAACACAGTAAAAGTCATTGTGGTTAGGTATTATATTGAAAGGCATCCCTTTTAATGCCTTCGCTTTTCCTGCTAATGACTTCTGGTATAGTAACATGCAGATTTCACAGGTTTGTGTTTCTGAAATTTGAAAATATATATCACATATTATCACAGTAGAGTGACTAATGTGCGCTCATGTGTAGGCACCCCTCTTCCCCCGTTCAGCCCCAGTGTATCATCATTTTGTTCTGTGCTGTTCATAGCTTGGGGAGTGTTCACAGTTTGGAGAATTCATAGCTTGTCTGCCAGTAATATATTCTACATTTTTTGTTTTGCCCTAAAGGGTTGCTATGAGTCGGAATCGACTTGATGGCAGTGGGTTTCGTTTTGCTTGGTTAATGGGTGCTTTTTATCAACTCTCATACAATTAACGCCTAGGAGAGACCTTTAGAAAAGGCTGAGTATGTAAGGTGTCCTTTATTGTGAACTGTTTGAGCTGTGACAAAATAGATTGTGATCTTGTTAAAGTTTGATAAGGATTTTATCAAGAATATGTAGCTCTTAGCTCAGGTTTGTTTTTCCTTTTTAATGTCTTAAAAATACTTCTTCTGGACCATCACATTAATAATGAGACACTCTTATTTTCATATACTTCGTCTGAGTTTATATTGTATGTCAGATATAACTTGGGGGTAGAAGGGATCAGTAATTACAGTGAAATGGTAGGTACATTGTAAATGAATTGTAGCATTGCCTAGCCAACTTCATAGTCGATTTTTACCTTAGCTTTTTCTTTTTCTTTTTCTTTAATTATTTTCTTTAATTGTGAAATGTATCATCCATACTGAAGAACTTATAAAACATACAACAACTTAAAAAGTAATTAATTATACAGTGGACATAAAACCTGCAAAAGCTGGAACCTGTGTAAGGCAGAAACCTGTCAGAGAATGAAAACTCAAGTATTTTCCATTAGTAGAGAGCAATAGAAAAGTGGTAAGCTGCACCCTGTCAAAGGTGGGAAACTTGCTAAACCTAGAAAAACAAGGCAGTCCCATCAAGTTCCAGCTCTCACAGATTTCACTGTAGAGAAGCTCCTAGCTTTGAACCTCATTTTCCCTTGAGTTAATGCTGAACTAGTACAGGTTCTCACGTGGATTTCAAAAATTATGTTTTTCCTACTTTCTGAGGAAGAAAAAATAGACCTCAGAGACAACATAAAGCTGATGTTTGTTAATGGAAATCCAAAGCGTTTAGCCCATGATTTCAGCCAACTGTGGTAGGAGCACTACATTCGTCATGGCGGGGAATAGAAGTTATGTAACGAACTAAAATGCATATGAGTGTGGATACTCTGCTATTATTTAAGGCATTTTAATCAGGCCAAAGAGATTCTAATTTTAAAATGGCCTTTCTTTTTCTCTGGGTATTAAAGCTGTACCCATCTTTAAGTAGCTGAATGCAACTTATGCTTCAAAAAGCTTTAAAAGTACTTTTCCGTTTTAAGATGACTCTTCAGATTCCAAAAATAAAGAGAATGATTATTGATGTGGCGGTTAAAAATAACCATTTCTGTTACTAGCGTAATTCTGTGAATATCATCTGTAGTAGACCAATGACCTATGTGTAATACTGGCCAAGTTTCATGATATCCAGTAGAGAGTGCCTAGGGCTATTTTAAGTGATCTGTTTTTCTTTGGGGTGGGAACAGTAGGCCAAGTTCAAGTCCCAACTCGGAATTTGTGTGTGTCTCTTTTGAAGGGGGGAAGGGACTCTGGAATATGAATTGTCTTCACTTGTTAATCCTGAACATGCCTCTGACTCATGAGTGGCAGCAGTCATGGGAGCACCTCCAGCCTTTCTCAGCAGATGTCACTGTCACTGTGTATGTTGACATATTTACCAAAGAAAAGGGAAACAAATGACTAATATAGAGATCATATTTATCAGTTTTACCAAATACATTTAACATTTTCTTGACTAATACCTTCTTTATATTTAAGGGACTTTAATACTTTTAAACTTGAAGTGATTGCTAAATTTGGGATGGTTTAGCAACTTCGAATGAAAAGAATGTTTTTATTTGGTTTTTGTGAGAATTTAACCTGAATCATCCTTCTGATTTCATTGCCACCATAAATTTTGGCAACTGGAAGTTAAGTCTGATCTCTTATTTTAATGAATGTCTTCGTGTCCCTTGAAATAGTAACTTGACTGTATTCAGGTATTCTTGGGGGTTTTTAGAAGAGGCTTGGCTTCACTGAGATTTTCTCTCATTCCCCACCCTTTTTAAAAATGATGTTTCTTCAAATTAAACGAATTTGGTATTGCCCCACATTTCCTCACTGAAAAGAGTTTTTTTTTTTTAACTCATTGTTATCAAATATTTGATAGCCCTTCATTTTTTATAATTAGGAAATTGACATAAAAATTAATAGAAGAGGAATATTAGAATGAGTGGTTTTGTTCTCAGTACTGGAGTTCCTATAACTTCTCAAAGCCAATTATTTTTATTTATTTATTTGTCTTAATCCATGGGTTGAATTAAATTTCCTTGAAATTTAATTTGTCTTTGCAGGTTAATGAATCAAAAACTATTTTAAAGCTTTGCGATTTTGGGTCAGCATCACATGTTGCAGATAACGACATAACGCCATATCTTGTCAGTAGATTTTATCGTGCTCCTGAAATCAGTAAGTGTCTTAAAGTGTTCTTTGATCTGGGCCATCATATGCAGTGAAAACAGCATATTTAATTTCTAAGTTCTGTTTTCCATCACACTTCAGCAGCTGCACGAGTTCATTTATGAGGAAGGGAACCGTAGCAAGTTCATCCTCCTCAGTTGGAATGATGATAGTTGTGACAGGAGTCTCGATCATGTCGGGCAAGAGTAGCAAAACAATTGTGGAAAATCTTCGACTTTAGAAGACTGCTCTTAATTATTCAAGGTCTGATTGTCAAACTTGTGAATTATATGGGACCTTTGTTTTTTTTCTCTTCCTTTTGCCTTTGTTGAGGCTGATTAGCACCTCCACCAAAGGTGAAATGGAAAAAGAAGAGATACACATTTTCTTACTTTTGCTCCTTTAGTTCCCCCTCCCCCATTTTTTAAGATTTTAAAGGGTCTCTTTTAAGAGTTAGTGGGAAAGGCCATGAAACTAGTTGTCAAACTGCCGAGGTATTAATATTATGGTTATAGTCCAAGCTAAGTTAGTCCCCCATTAATGGAAATAAAAATTAATGGTCGATTATTGTTGTTCTCATATTTTAAAATTTCATTTTGTTTTCAGTTATAGGTAAAAGCTATGACTATGGTATAGATATGTGGTCTGTAGGTTGTACCTTATATGAACTTTATACTGGAAAAATTTTATTTCCTGGCAAAACCAATAACCATATGTTGAAGCTTGCCATGGATCTCAAAGGAAAGATGCCAAATAAGGTAAGACATTAGCACAAGCTTGTTTTTTTCCCATGGTCTTAGTAGTAATTTCTTATAGACTGATGGACTGCTGACACTTAAAACTGCTATAAAACAAAAATTTTGGAGAGGCAGATAGATGGTTACTGTGATTCCTTAGGTCTTTTCCCATTTCTGGTCTTTAAATTAATGGTTATACTCAGCCAAGAGCTAAGAGAATAAAGAACTCCTTTTTCTCTCTAAAGTCTGCCTTCATGCTTTTCCTTATTCTTTACGCTCTTGAATTAAGCAGGAGAGTAGCGCCTTGTGGTTTAGGAGAGAATTGGTTAGCATACATTTGTTAAGCATCATAATATGACTGTTTCATATCTCTGTCATTCTTATTCCATTTATTGTTTTTCAGTGATGGGCAGAGAAGCAGCAGTGTTCTTGGGAGTACAACCTTATTGATATGAGTATCAAACATGTGGGAGATAGAATGAAAAAGATGCAGATCAAGTTAGTTAAATGTAAAGAAGTGCCTAGTGATGAGAATGAATGGCTAACTTTATAAGAGGAACTAGATGGCAGTCAGTTTATTAAAGATGAGAGGTTATTTGGGAAGGGAAGGGAAGGTACAAAGAAAATTCATTTGCTAAGACTTCTTAGAAATTCACCCTGAACACTTTAGCTGTAACACTAGTTTCTGTGTGTTTAACATGAAGCAAGAGCTTTCGGCTTTATAAAAATGTCTGAAGGCCGTATCTTAGATTTGTAAGATTTCAGTTTATTTGCTAAATTTCTGAGAGATTGACAGATTTTTCTCCCTGTAGGTCAGAAGCAATTATGGATTTTAGATACTGTCCAAATTGTAGTATGTTGGACTTTAAGTTACACTGAAATTAGCTATGCTGTTACTTGTTTTAATTAGGTCTAATCTAAGAGCTCTTAAAACATGATTTGCAAAATGCCATTAAGTTTCCTAACTGCCAAGAGAAAAGACTCCAGTATGTCTAATATCTTTCCTGTCTAAGAACAAATGATTTTAAGTCTTTGTTTAATCCCAAGTTTTGAATAATGAAACCACAACTTAATATGTAAATTGGATTAGGTCACTGCCTGAGAAAATATAATTTCATGTTAAATGGTTTAGGTGCAACATTAGGTTTAGCATTTTCAAAGATTTTTGGAAACTCTTGAAGCAAGGGAATCTGAGATCATTTCCAAATGAGAAACAAATCCAGAGGGACTAAATAAATAATTTGTATGATTTGTTTTGTATTGAATTGTTTTAGGCCAGACTGTTTTGTAATAGTTCAAAACCCAAGATTTTTCTCCCCCTTAGATGATTCGAAAAGGCGTATTCAAAGATCAACATTTTGATCAAAATCTCAACTTCATGTACATAGAAGTTGATAAAGTAACAGAGAGGGTAAGTCTGTTTTAATTGTGTTACATCTTATTGTTAATTTGAGTACTGGGTGGTACTAGGAGCTATGCATATTTAAAAAAAAAAACATTAAAAATAATTCTTTTTCTGCTGTTGGCCAGTTCTTGGATAAAACACATCATATTATGAAAAAGATGAAGGGATTTTTTAGTGCTTTTCTAGTATAATGAATTTGTTTTTATCATAGGTGATATCTAAGCCCCCATCATCTGTCCTCTGGATCACTTTCTTGGTCTGACCACCTTCTGTGAGCACTATACTAGAGTGACCTTTCAGGAAACAAATCTGTTAATGTTACTGTATTTAAAAACCCTTCGTTAGCTCCTTATTCCCTGTAAGATAATATTTAAGTTTTTCAGAACAAGTCCTCTGTAATAGAAACTCTGCCTTTTTCAACAACAGTTTTCTCTCTCCTCACTGTATTCCATAAAGCCTATCATTCCATGCTTGGCCATTATCTAGAGAGTATGCTATTTTACACCTCTGTGCTTTTGCTCACAGACCTCCCTGGGCTCATAATTCACCTCCTGTACCAATTCCTTTAAAAAAATCTCAGCTTCAAGCCTTTTCTGAAATACCACGTTCTATATGTGCCTTTCTAAAACCTCCAGGATGAAGTAATGACTTCCTTATTTTGCCCCATTATTTTATGGCTTCCTAGCTTTGTCAGAGCACTTACCATGTCATTGTATTGTCCTTTTACATGTCTCTTAACTAGACTGTAATCTTCCTCAGGGTAGGAAAAGTCCAGTTCAAACAGCAAATGGCTGCTGTTAAGTAGTTTTAATGCTTTAACTCCTTTTTTTGGATATCGTAGAATTCTTTTCTGTCATCATTGTGGTCTTTTTATAAAATTTAAGTTATAGAATGATGATCTTAAAAAAAAAAACCATTGTAGAAATTGTTGAATTGATATATGTTTTGCTGTGTATATCTTCACCAAAATAATAATAAAAAAGTGATCATAGCTAAAGGGTTGACTTTTTCCATTTTAAGTGTTTTCACTGCTTCTTGGGAAGATGTAGAAGGCACAGGAAGCCATGTAAAAGTTTTAAATGAGTAGATGGTAAACACATATATATTCTTAATATAGACCCAAAGTCTGATTTTGAGTTAATATATGTTTAGTATCTTATTTAGAGGTATGCATTTTTAAAAATTATTTTTAGGAGAAAGTTACTGTCATGAGCACCATTAATCCAACTAAGGACCTGTTGGCTGATTTGATTGGGTGCCAGCGACTTCCTGAAGACCAACGCAAAAAAGTGCACCAGCTAAAGGACTTGTTGGACCAGATCCTAATGTTGGACCCAGCTAAACGAATTAGCATCAACCAGGCCCTACAGCATGCCTTCATCCAGGAAAAAATTTAAACGAGATGAAGAAGCTCTAAGGGTTTGAGTAATTAAATACAAAGACTGAAGAAATTTCACAGCAGTTTATTAATGTATATAAACTTATAAATATTTCTCCAGAAAATTTGAGGAAGCATGATATATTTGAATTAACACAAAGGGTGATATTTCTTTTAGAAATGTTAGATAATGTTTCGTGTCTTATGTGAAATTTCACTGTAGAACTGTTTTAATTGCCAAGACTGCTCAGAATTACAGTGCTAATGTATATGATTGCAGTTCACATAAAGACAAAAGCATCTGTTATAAAATGAGTAGTAATACTGGGTGGTTGATTTGTTTTTAGCAGACTTGGCTTCAATTTGGTCTTCAGATAAAATGGCCAGCATAAATGCTGTTTATATTCACATTTTCCTAGGTGTGTGTGTGCAGGCCACAGCAGCATGCCCTTGGTGTAGTCAGTGCCGAAAGGGGTCTGTTCCTTCTTGAGCCTGCCTGCAGGGATGGTCTCCTCTTTTAAAGCAGGTTGTGTACAACATTCAGTACACTGAAGGTAAGCTAAACCATCAACATCACTGGTGTTTTAAGCTGTTATTTTACTGGAACAATTGACAAATGAGGGATATTAGCTTTGTGGCAGAATTCCCTGCATGTGTGATAACTGATCTTGTTTTATTTTTTGGCATTGCAACTGTGGCATAGTTACAATTTTTGTTCTGTTCATCACATTTAAAATTTGAAGAGTATGCTCTTGATGGATAGAGCGCCTTCAGTGTACTGTTTCTTATTAACTTTAATTTTTTTTTAATCAACTTGCTATAGACTTTATATACATTTTGTTAAATACAGTTCCTAGTGACATAGAAACAATGCGTAGTTTTCATTTACTAATTACAAATGTTGAGGCCTACTTCTGAAAGTCCTCATATTTAAAGCTTAGACAACATAATGAAATTTTTAACTATTTGTATGTCATTTTGAAAGTGTACTGCTTTATGGTAAAAGTGTTTTTCATTTGTTCATTGTTTTCATTATTTGTGATCATGTTGTCTTTCAATACAGGCATAAACCTTCCACTCTTGAACAAAGCAGCTGCTTTTTAAAAGCGGTAATTGCTTCTTTACCTTTTATTTCTTTTGTAAATGAAGCTTTTCTTTAAGAATGTGACTTTAAAGTGTTGTCTATTGCATAAAACAGTTGACACTCACTTATTGTAAAGTGAAGATTGTTCTACTGCATGTAAAGTGGACCATGCAGATTTCTGTATGTTTTCAGGATGCATCATTAGATAATAAAGTCTTTTGTGAACAAGGCATTTGTAGCCATTTTTAAAAGTTTTTGTCTTCAGTGCTGGTAAGTCAGGTAAACCGTAAATAGTTAAAGCAACCTTTCATTTTTCCATTAAGTCTTTAACTAAAAGTATTATTTGTTAAAGATATAAACCTAGTGAAAAGTTTTATCATTTTATTAGTGATTATGATACTAATTATATCATCCAAAAAAGTCCTACAAATATTGTCAGCTTTCAGTGTAGTGAGATTATCCTGTAGGTTATGGGGTATAATTCAGGATTTAACTAATGTTTCTGCTATTTTCTCACTTTTCCTTTTGATGGTGCGGAAAGAGAAAAAGGAAAACGGGGCACAGGCCATTCAACGCCTTCTCCAAGGGGTCTGATTTGCTGAGACACCAGCTTCACCTTCTTTACAAGGTTATTTCTGACAGCATGTGTAGATAAACATTTAGCAACAATTTAAAACAAAATCATGTAAATCAGCTTGGTTTTACAGCACAAAGGAGTTAGTATTTTTAACATGGTAGGAGAGAATTTTCAAAAGTATGTAATTTTTTTTTTTTTATAAAATTACTGCTTGCCTCCTTGAGGAATGTGGAAAATAATCAGATTTTAGGAGTTTAAATCATATTTTTAAATTGTAAATGGGATTTTTTTATTCACCCAGGCACCTAATTACAACAAGCATGCACATTTTGGTGCATTCAAGAATGGAAAATCAGAATAGCAGCATTCTTCTGGTGGGTTTTGCTCCATTTAAAGACATGAAATGAACTACAGCCAGGAAGGTGATAGATGAGATAATATGCCACCTATGAACCTACAGCCCGTCTGTCTCCTCATGGTTTAGACTTACTAAAATAAACACAGGTGATTTTCCTCTTCAAGTAGAGTGAAGCCTTTTAAATAAGGCATCACGAGTGCAGCTTTTCCACCTGAATGAAATGGGTAGTGATTTTCCCACCATTATTTATTTGGTGATAACATGCTGCATATTCGAGTCTTTTGGAGTTATTATCACATGAAATAATAGTTACATTTTGATGCTTCTGATGATTTTCATGGCTTCATTTTATATAATTATTAAGTAATTTAACTTCCACTAGAAACAGTTCGTCTTATGCCTTCAAAACTATTACATATTCTTTAAAAAACAAAGTTGCTTGTTACTTGTTCTTTGTGTTTTAGGTGCAGCTCAGTGGAAGATGATGACAGCCAGAAGACATGAGCTAAGGTTTCTGTCCTATAAAAGATTACAAAATAAAAAAAGAACTCCTCCATTTAATTTTTGTCTTAATTTTTTCATTTTCAGCATTATGATTTGGGTTTCATTAATGTTTGATATTTAGAATAGTAGTGCTTTTGTGGTGTTCGTCTGTAAAGTGCTTGTTTATCATGCTTCCTTGCTTCTCCTGCCTTCCCCCCCTTTAAAAAAAAAATAGTGTCATATTTATAGTGATTTTATAAAAGACTCTTGGATTCTGAGATCTCACATTACATGTGGTTGTTGAAATTGGTTTTAAGGATTATTAGAAAACAGCAACTGCCAAAATGGCGTACATCAAAAAGTAGTCTGCAGCTTTAGGTATCTTCTCTCCTTAGCTTACTCTTTAGTAACATTTTTATCAATTGCTTCACTCATGATCTTAACACAGACAAGATATACAGAGCCATTGTCAGTTTTTCTTAAGGAAAGTGAGAAAGGTGATGGTCTATAGATCTTTGGTATTCCCAAATTTAGCATCTGTAAACTTAACTGTTTGAAAGGAACCCTATAGACAGTCCATAACTTTATTAGAAGATGTAATTTTGCTGAGGTATAAATTTGGAACTCTGTAAGACCTCTGTTAGATTCAGGTGAGTGATCCTTTCTAACAAGCCTGCATTCATATTTCAGAGTAGCTATGTAGTTTTCAAATACAAGTATCTCGTGAAGTTTTGCTTTGTTACATTTTTTGGCAAAGCTTATCTAGAGTGACCATTAGGCAGGAGGATTCATAAAAGTCTTGGGACATAGCCCTCAAAGGTATTGTATTCTTTCTACAGTTAGGGGAATAGTTGAGGTCAAAAAGCATGTACTGTTAACACACTCTGTTCTCTGGGTAGACTTTATTCTTCCAGGTTCTCAGGTTGGAATTTTCCAGTTTTGAAGGGGAGCATCTTGTCATAAATTTTAAGACCCTCTCTGTATTTGTTTTCACCTTTAAATCCTTAATTAGTAACATTGTTTCCTCACTCCCTGATGGCCATCTCATTTCACTCTTCTTTATCAAAGTAATTTCATGTTCTAAAATAATATAATTTTTATCTTATTTGCTATTACAGTTACCACTTTTTCCCTAACAAAAACACACAGGATATTTTGACAATACAGACAAACGTATATAATGTTTTAGCATACATGCGTGGTACTCGTTACCTATTGCCTTCAAGTCAGTTCCAACTCATAGTGACCCTATAGGACAGAGTAGAACTGCCCCCCGGAGTTTCCAGCTAGCAGCTGGTGGATTCGAATTGCCGACCTTTTGGTTAGCAGTCAGCTCTTAACCACTCCGCCAGTAGGGCTCCAGGGTATGTGTTAGAGGTAGTGAAATGTAATGTTCTCAGATTGGTTCCATCTTTGCATCCTTCGTACTATTACTATGGCTTACCTGTACTTTTATCATCATTTGTAAGCAGAACTATAGCTGTGTAGGTAGAAATAAAATCTCTGAAATGAAATAAAGGAATCCTATTACTAAAATTTAGCCCAAAAGTTAAGAATGCCTGTTTGAATGTTGGAAATGAGGAAGAAGCCAGATAGTCAAATATGTAATTTTCCTCCTTTAGTTATAAAGACATCGTTAGAAATAGGCTTCGTAAATGTATGTTTCTGCTGTCATAGTACCTTAGTTTCTGGCATATATTCAACATGACTTCTGTCACTGCTCCTTCTAGATGGAATGCCATCTATAGAATTGTTCACTATGAATTCATTTGTGTTTTTTACATGTCAATGATAGGTACACTAAATTGACTTTAAAATATTTTGCAGTTATTTTGATAGATACTGTGGCATCCTTTTCTTAATTTTTCTTCTTCTATATGTAGGGTAAGGGACTGTTCTTCTGAAGAACCTTTCCATTTAGTGATCAAGATATGGAAGCTGATCTCTGAAAATACTCAATATGTATCCTAATTGTTGGTGGTATCGTTTGAATTGTAACTTGCATTTTAGCAGCACGTGTTCCCAGTCAGCTTATTGGGAAACTTAATAAAATATGTCTGTCATTACCGTATTGTCTCCTGGTTTTTCCTTTGCTGGAGTTGGGTATTTTTATACTTAGTATTATGTTAAAACAACATTTCTGCATAGATAAGGAGTTTAGGGGGCACTGAGTCTAAACTAATAAGAGGTGAAACAACTAGAGCAGAAATGAGAATGTTGACACAATGTGAAGAATGTAACTGAACAATGTGTGTAGAAATGGTTAAGTTAGAGCACATTTTGCATGTTTTATTTTGTGTATATTTTCACCAGAAATTAAATTTAACTTAAAAAAGAAACCCTCTTAAAAAAAATTGAAGTGAGAAATGATTTGGCTTCTTAAAGATTCACCCATAATTTAAGACACTTGAGTTAATATCTTGAGAGAGAAGTTGAGGATAATTTGTGTTTATACAAATAGACCCTTCGAAATGGAGTTACAACTCAGTAAGGAACTTAAACTATATTAATAGATCAAACATTGAATTCTTTTCAGATCTTATATACTCAGTTACTTGTTTTGTCTACAGTCCAGTTGGCAAGGAACAAGTTTATTTAGCTACAGGAAGTGCTGATATATAAACAGGACATGGAAGTACTTTGGAAAAGGTATATTTTAGTAAGTCTTTTTAAAAAGTCATATATAAAATTAAGTCATTTATGTCTTCAACTGTCCATTTAAACAATGGCTGTTGACGTTGTTGCCCGCCCCCCCCCCAAAAGTTATGCACTTAAAAATATTTCTTAAAAAAATTTTTATGTGATTTTTCTCAGATTTGTTTCACTGAGGTCGATAGAAGTGCTTTGTAAAGTATTCTGTGCTCAAATATGATTGGGAACTGCTGGATTAAGTTAAATAAGGTAAAAGTGACCAGAAATTTTCACCAAAATTTTAAAAAAGTGACCAGAATACTACGTGCATTATAAATCACAAAGAGGAAGGTGTGGAGGAAAGTTTCCCAAACTACTTGACAGAACTTGCCCTTTTTCACAGAACCTACTGCCTGGAAACAGCTAATTTAATATGACTTTCCTCACAAGCATCAAAACATGTTCAAAGCACTGAGTGCAAAACACTGCAGAGTGTCACAGTTGTGTATATTTCTGATTTGGTATTCCTAGTAATAGAAGCATAATTTTTCTGTGATTTAGATAATTCAGTTCATCGTACTTGTAGAAGCCTGATGGATATGGGGCTCTTATTCTCCATCTACCCGCGTTTTATTCTGTGGAAGTATTTTCAGTTGTTAAAAACAGTTAATAAAATATTTCAGAGGGACAGGAAAATTGGGTAAGTCTTCAGCTTACGCAAAGCAGGATTGAGGGTGGCGGGGAAGAGCCCCTGGCTTTAGAGAATTATACCCACCCCAGCTGGAGCTAATCACACCAGAGTGGCAGATAAGAGTTTGGTCTGATAGGGTGCTGGCACCAGGCTTTTGTAGGAAATGGGCTGAATCGGAAGTTTTCTGCTTGGAGGGCAAGGGACAGAAGCTGCATACGCATCCATTGCACCCTGACTTTGAAGGGTCATGAGATGGTTGCATTCTAGTACATGTAGGGAAAGTAGTGCACCTCAAATGCGGGATGTATTGGGTCAGGGCAGGCAGCACTGCAGGCTAGAGGAATACTTGCACGTGTGTGTTGTTGGTGGGAGAGTAAAAGTATACAGGAGAGGTAAACAATGGACATTTATGAGCAAGCCAAGAAGTCAAGTTAATCTAAATTTCCCTGAACAGAACTACCTTACATAAATTTATAAGTATGTATGCACATGAACTTTTCCAAATGTTTCTTCAGAAGCAGTGGTAGAAGTTGGCTTTCAAAGGTCTGAAAAATAGCCAAGTCTTTATTGTACTAGTTCATAACTAGTTTGTCCCCCAATTGCTTTCCTCTTCACAGAATTCATTTGTATTGCCTGTTTTAACCAAATCTTTCCCCCATCAGTCTAGAGATTGAACATGAGATAGCCGCATCATCTGCCTCCTACAAAAGCACTTTAGGGACTCAAACAGGAAAAGAATCCCAGCAACTATATCTTTACTAAGTGATCATGACATGTTAAAATTATTAGTCCAAAAGGTGCGTTTTGAACATTTTCATTTATATTTAAAGCAATTTTGAACTATGATTGAAAACATGATTCAGTAGCTCCTTTTTTAGGTTTCAGGGCATTCTAAATGAAGTAGCCTGGTTGTGTTTCCAATAAGAAATTCACCTTTAGCGCTCCCTTCCCCCTGCCCAGTGCGCACATGCATGTACATTCAAAGGGACCAAACAAATTACCTAATGCAGAAATCTATTTAAAACATCCCTGACAAAATGATTTCTTACTCTGCCTCAGAAGCACTCTTCCCTACCTCCTGTTTCCCAACTACCCTGCCCACTCCCAATCCTGGCCTTGCTGAAAAGCAGGGCATCTGTGGAAAATAGGGCCTATGCTGTGGAGACCGTGGTCTCGGGGAACATCTGACTCGGTTGGCATAACAGTTTATGGGGAAGGTGTTCTGCATTCCACTCTGGTGAGTAGCATCTGGGGTCTTGGAAGCTTGTGAGGGGCTATGTGGGATGCTTCACTGGTCTCACCCTGTCAGGAGCAGGGGAGAGTAGGGAAAGCCAAGAACATGGGGGAAAGATTGGCCCAGGGGACTGATGGACCACAACTGCCACAGCCTCCACTAGAGTGAGGCCAGCACAACTAGATGGTGCCGGGCTGCCACCACTGACTGCTCTGACAGGGATCACAGTAGAGTCTCAGACAGAGCTGGAGAGAAATGTAGACCAAAATTCTAACTCACAAAAAAAGACCAGACTTACTGGCCTGACAGAGACTGGAGAAATCCCGTGAGTGTGGACCCCGGACATCCTTTTAGCTCAGTAATAAAGTCACTCCTGGGGTTCACCCTTCAGCCAGGGATTGGACAGGCCTGTGGAACAGGGAGGGGCACACTGGCCCAGAAGCGGGGGCTGGAGGACGGGGGTACAGGAGGGCTGGTGGTGATGAACTCAAGGTCAAGAGAGGAGAGTGTTGACATGTGGGATTGGTAACCAATGTCACAAAACAATGTGTGTGCTGATTGATGAGAGGCTGGTTTGTTCTGTTAACCTTCATCTAGAGTACAATAATTAAAAAAAAAGAAAATAGGGCCTATGGCAATTAGTTTTGAATTGCTGAGTGATCGTTCACAGTTGGTGATGGAAAAGGCGATAGCCAATAGGAACTGGTCATTGGCAGCATCCTCCACCCCTACCACCACCACCAAGCGGAGCCCAGGGCACACACCATATCTGATATACCCTAGATATACCTTGGCATCAGCAAGGTACGTAGGGGCTTAATAATCTGTTGTGCACAATGTCACATGTTTTCACATGTGAAACCCATGTGAAATTGTACACTACAACACTAGTAAGTAAGCACATAAGCCCGCGCGTACCTTGCTTTCTGGTTAATCCGCCCCTGCTTACAAGAAGTAGGGTGTTAATAATGTGTTATGTATTGTTATTCCTCCAGTGACAATTCAATCCTAAGGTGACTCATTGCATCTTGAACTGGTCTACCCTCTTTAAGTGTCATTCCTATTTTTCTGGTGTATCTTTTTTTTTTTTTTTTTTTGCTATATGTCCCCACTTTTGCCTCATTCACTTAATCATCACATAATTAATTATATGAGATAAAAGATATTCTGTCCATTTTACAAATCAGGAAAGTAAAGCACAGCTTAAGGAATCTGTTAAGGAGCAGAGCCTGGGTTCAGATTCAAACAGTTAGCTATGGTGTATCTACTACATGCCAGGAAATGGTCCTTGGGGATGTAGTGGTGAACAAAATTCTTGAAGGTTTTACAAATAAAGATGAGGGGATAAAATTCAGGCAGATAAAGGCAGAAGTGAAAATGGATGTAAAGTGTTGTTCAAAACTAAGGTTCAGGTCTTTGGATTTCTGGCCCAACATGTAAAGAGCTTGAAAGTCAACACTCACACTCACAACAAGAAAAAAAAAAAATGAAAAACCAACTCTTCTTAGATCCATCAGGTAATTGAGGTCACAGGGCAAGCCACAGCCCCCAAAACTGGAGATACAGGCAAATAGAAAAAATCCCAGTTTATCAGGAATAGAAACCACCACTGTACTCACATAAGTAGGAATACCCACCAAAACCAAGCCCACTGCCATTGAGTCAGTTCTGACTCGTAGTTGACCCCATAGGGTTTCCAAGGCTATAAATCTCTACAGAGGCAGACTGCAGCATCTTTCTTCCACAAAGCCCCTGGTGGTTTATAACCACCAACCTTTCAGTTAGCATTCAATTGGTTTAATCACTGCACCACCAGGGCTCCTTAGGTAGGACTACACTAAGGGTAATTGACTAATTACTGGAGACTGAGCAAGGATAACTTGAGAGATAAAAGCTTCTGTAGCCCAATCTTAGGAACAGCTCCACACTTGTGAGTTATACCTCCCAGAGTTCCACAGGTTCTCACTGAAGATCAAGAAAAATCCTTGAGAGCTTTGGGCAGGGAGAGGGGGAAAGTAACCATTTTGAAATGGTGCTATATTCTCCTTAACAACAGCCTGCCCTCAAGGGAAATAATTTTACCAGAGCCTTGGTGGCACAGTGGTTAAAGCGATCGGCTGCTAATAGAAAGTTCAGAGGTTCGAACCCACCAGCCTCTCTGTAGAAAAAAGATGTGGCTGTCTGCTTCTGTAAAAATTTACAGCCTTGGAAACCCTATGGGACAGTTCTACTCTGTCCTATAGGGTCTCTACGAGTTGGAATCGGCTTGATGGCAGTGGGTTTGGTTTGGGTTAACCAACGTGGGTTTTACCAGATCTTAACTGACCTGGGGGAACAGAAATACCCAACTGCAGCCCTCTCTACCCTCCATGTGGGGGAAGAGAAATATCAACTCCAACCCTCTGTAATCTTTCTGCCTCACCTGAGGGTGAGGGGAAAAAGGCTGAGAAGCACTTGTAAAGGCCATAACCCAGGGACACAGGCTCACTAAAAGATTGAGACCTAATTATATGATCACAGAACACTCCCCCTTTCCCCATACCTTACCACAACATCATTAGGGCTCCTGTACAATGCCAGAATTAAAGTTAAAGAGAACTGCAAGTCTCAGATACTAAGGAGTTTCTAGGGAAACCAAAATAAAACAGGGGAAACAAAAACAAGGACACCACAGGAAATTTTAGCCTCTGACACCTAGCGCTACAACAAATACTAAACACAGTGTAACTTCTAGCCATTAACAGCCTGCAATACGCAGATGACGCAACCTTGCTTACTGAAAGCAAAGAGGACTTTGATGAAGATCAAAGACTAGTCTTCAATATAGATTACACTTCAACATAAAGAAAACAAAAATCCTCACAACTGGACCAATAACCAACATCATGATAAATGGAAAAAATATTGAAGCTGTCAAGGATTTCATTTCTCTTGGATCCACAATCAATGCCCATGGAAACAGCAGTTAAGAAATCAGATGATGCATTGCATTGGGCAAATCTGTAAGAGATCTCTTTAAAGTGTTAAAAAGCAAAGATGTCACTTTAAGGACTAAGGTGCACCTGACTCAATTCATGGTGTTTTCAATCACCCCATATGCATGTGAAAGTTGGACAATGAATAAAGAAGACCAAAGAAGAATTGATGTCTTTGAATTATGGTGTTGGCGAAGAATATTGAATGCACTATGAACTGCCAGAAGAATGAACAAATCTGTCTTGGAAGAAGTACAGCCAGAATGCTCATTAGAAGCAAGGATGGCAAGATTTCATCTCTCATAGTTTGGACATGTTATGAGGAGGGATCAATCCCTGAGGACATCATGCTTGGTAAAGTAGAGTGTCATGAAAAAGAGAAAGACCCTTAACGAGATGGATTGACACAGTGGCTGCAACAATGGGCTCAAACATAGTAACGACTCTGAGGATGACCCAAGACCGGGCAGTGTTTTGTTTTGTTGTACATAAAGTCACTATGAGTCAGATTCAACTTGACGGCACCTAACAATGACAATGATTAATACACTCATAATGACTCATAGCGACCCTATGGGACCGAGTAGAAATGCCCCATAGGGTTTCGAAGGAGCAGCTGGTGGATTCGAACTGCCACTGTGCTACCAGGGCTCTAATGGAAGAAGTGGGCAACATGCAAGAACAGATGGAAACTCAAAGAAAGAATCAAAAGAAAATGCTAGAAAATAAAAACACTGCAAGAGAAATGAAGAATGCCTTTTATGAGCCCATCAGTAAACTAGACATGACTGAAGCAAGAATCAATAATTTTGAAAATATATCAATAGAAACTTCCCAAACTGAAAAGCAAAGAGGAAGAATTAAAAAAAAAAAAAAAAAAAAGGAAAAGAAAATCCAGGAACTGTGGGACAATTACAAAAGGTGTAATATATGCATATGTAACAGAAGGAGAAAAAAGAGAGGAAAGAACAGAAGAACTATTTGACGTAATAATAATGGCTGAGAATTTCCCAACATTATTTGACAGACACCCAACAACAGATTCAGAAAGCTCAGAGAACACCAAAGCAGGATAAATACTAAAAGTAAATAAATAAACAATAAAAATAAATTCAGCCAAGCATATCAGACTCAAACTGCAGAAAATCAAAGACAAAGAAAAAATCTTGAAAGAAGTTGGAGGCTGTGAGGAGGGGGACACCTTACATATAGAGGAATAAGGATAAGAATTACATCATATTTCTCTTTGGAAACCATTCAAGGAGGAATAGAGTGGAGTGAAATATTTGAAGTGCTGAAAAGAAAGAAAAAACAGCCTAGAATTCTGTAACCAGTAAAATTAACCTTCAAAAGTGAAGGGGAAATAAAGACTTTCTCAGACAAATATTGAGGGAATTTGTCTTGCAAGAAATGTTAAAAGAGGTTCTTCAGAGAAAAGGAAAATTATATAGGTCAGAAACTTGCACTTACATAAAGAAAGTGTAGTCAAGAAGAAATAAATGAAGATAAAATAAAATATTTTATTTTTTCTTATTCCTAACTGATCTGATAGCAGTTTGCTCAAACTAACAATAGCAACAATATACTGAATGATTATAGCTTATTGATAAGTGACATGTATGACAACAATGTTATAATGGAAGGGAGGGGAGA